CACAACATATCAAAACCTATGGGATACAGCAAAAGTAGTAGTAAGAGGAAAGTTTATAGCAATGAGTGTCTACTTCAGAAAAGGAGAACACACTCTAGTCCGGGCAACAGAGCAAGACTCTGTTTCAAAAAAAAAAAAAAAAAAAGTTCAAATAAACAACCTAATGATGCATCTCAAAGCACTGGAAAAACAAGAGCAAACCAAATTTAAAATTGGCAGAAGAAAAGAAATAATAAAGATCAGAGCAGAAATAATGAAATTGAAACAAACACACACGCGCAAAAACAAAAGATCAAGTTGGTTTTTTGAAAAGACAAACAAAATTAACACACCTATAGCCAGACTAAGAAAAAAGAAAGAAGACCCCATATAAATAAAATCAGAGATGAAAAAGGAGACATTACAACTGATACGGCAAAAATTCAAAGAATCTTTATAGACTGCTGTGAGCAACTATATGCCAATAAATTGGAAAACCTAGAGGAAATGGATAAATTCCTAGATACATACCAACCTACCAACATTGGAGGAGGAAATCCAAAACCTGAATAAACCAATAACAAGTAATGAGATAGAAGGAGTAACAAAAAGTGTCCCATCAAAGAAAAGCCCAGTACCTGATGGCTTTACTACTGAATTCTACCAAGCATTCAAAGAACTAATACCAATCCTACTTAAACTATTCCAAAAAATCGAGGAGGGAATACTCCCAAACTCATACTAGGAGGCCTATATCCTCCTGATACCAAAACCAGACAAAGATCCAATAAGAAAAGAAAACTGGCCAGGTGCGGTGGCTCACGCCTATAATCCTAGCACTTTCAGAGGCCAAGGCAGGAGAACTGCTTGAAGCCAGGAGTTTGAGACCAGCTTGACTAAGAGCAACAACCCCATGTACACAAAAAATAGAAAAATTAGCTGGGCATGGTGGCACGCACCTGTAGTCCCAGCTACTCAAGAGGCTGAGGCAGGAGGATCGCTTGAACTCAGGAGTTTGAGGTTGAAGCGAGCTATGATGACACCACTGCACTCTGGCCCAGGCAATAGAGCAAGACCTTGTCTCAAAAAAAAAAAAAGGGAAAAAAAGAAACAAAAACTATAAGCCAATATCTCTGATGAACATAGATGCAAAAATCCTCAACAAAATACAAGCAAACCAAACTCAACAACATGTTAGGCCAGGAGTGGTGGCTCACGCCTGTAATCCTAGCACTCTGGGAGGCCGAGGCAGGAGGATTGCTTGAGCTCAAGAGTTTGAGACCAGCCTAAGCAAGAGCAAGACCCCATCTCTACTATAAATGGAAAAAAATCAGCCAAACAACTAAAAATAGAAAAAATTAGCTGAGCACGGTGGCACATGCCTGTAGTCCCAGCTACCCAGGAGGCTGAGGCAGGAGGATCGCTTGAGCCCAGGAGTTTGAGGCTGTAATCAGCTATGATGATGCTACTGCACTCCACCCGGGGTGATAGAGCAAGGCTCTGTCTCAAAAAAAAAAAAAAATCACATGTACCCTATAAATACATACAACTATTAATATTATGAACCCATAATTAAAAATAAAAAATTGAGAAAAATAAAATTTAAATATATTACTTAAAGTGTTAAAAGGGAGCCATCAGATAAATTAAAAATAGTATAATATTAATATAACCAAAAAAATTGAGAGGGGGGTAAGGAGAGGTAATATAATATAATATGAGATAAATCCTCATCTATTATGACAGCAAATAAACAGATCATATATAAAGCTGATAAATCAAGAATTATTGTTATGAGCAGAAGTATGTCCTCCAAAATTATGTTGAAGCCCTAACCTCCAGCATCTCAGAATGTGACTGTGTTTGAAGATAGAGCCTTTCTTTAAGAAGTGATTAAATTAAAATGAGGCCATTAGGGTGGGCCCTAATCCCATCTGACTGGCATCCTTATAACCAGAGGGAATTGAGACACACAAATAGACACCAGGAATGAGCATGCACAGAGGAAAGGCCATGTGAGAACACAGTAAGAAGGTGGACATATGCAAGTCACAGAAAAAGTACTCAGAAGAAACCAAACCTGCTGACACATTGATCTTGAACGTCTAGTCCCAGAACTGTGAGAAATAGTTGTTATACTGTATTATTTTTTATTTGTATTGTTTCTTATTGTTGTATTGTTATTTTTTATTGGATTTTCTTTGTAATATTTTTGATCCTTGGTTGGTCAAATCCATGGATGTGGAACCCAAGGCTATGGGGGGCCAACTGTACTTTCCTTAGTAGATTTGTCTTTGAAATCATATAAATATTTTACATAATTATAAAATAATATTCAATCAACATGAGAAAAAAAGCAATCATTAAAAGTCAAAAGCAGGGCGTGGCACAGTGGCTCACGTCTGTAATCCTAGCACTCTGGGAGGCCCAGGTGGGAGGATTGCTTGAGTTCAGCAGTTTGAGACCAGCCTGATCAAGAGCAAGACCCCGTCTCTACTAAAAATAGAAAAAATGGGCCGGGCGCGGTGGCTCACGCCTGTAATCCTAGCTCTCTGGGAGGCCGAGGCGGGCGGATTGTTTGAGCTCAGGAGTTCGAAACCAGCCTGAGCAAGAGCGAGACCCCGTCTCTACTAAAATAGAAAGAAATTAATCGGACAACTAAAAATATATAGAAAAAATTAGCCGGGCATGGTGGCGCATGCCTGTAGTCCCAGCTACTCGGGAGGCTGAGGCAGAAGGATCACTTGAGCCCAGGAGTTTGAGGTTGCTGTGAGCTAGGCTGACACCACGGCACTCTAGCCCGGGCAACATAGTGAGACTCTGTCTTAAAAAAAAAAAATCTCACTACTCTGTACTTCTCTCAATATCACTGGTTCTTAAAATTTGGTGTGCATGAGAATTTCTGAGAAATTTTTTCAAATTATAGACATACCTAGATTTCATCCCGAACCTAAATGAACCAAAACCACCAGTGAATGGTAGGGCCTGGACATCTGTATTTTTAACAGGCTTCACAGGTGATTCTAGTTTTTACCAATATTTAAGAACCACTGCTTTTTATTTTCTCCCTCAGAGGACTCAACTACTCTTGTGGCTTCAACTACCACCTTCATATAACTGGCAAATCTATAGGCCCAGTCCTGACCTGTCTCATAAGCTCTAGTCTCATATATCCAATCTTACTGTCACCTCAAATGCAACAGGTCTAAAACTAAGAGTTACAAGTCATTCCTCTACTTCTGGCTTTCCTATTTCTGTTCATTGTTCCATAATTGTTTCAAATAATAAAAATTGTGGCTTATAAATCGTGACTTATTTCATCATGTAGCATAATCCAGGCAGACTAAATATGTTTTTAAAGAGAAAAATTATCTTCCAATCAACATATTTTTGAAAGAAAATTCTTTTAAATTGTAGGCTTCCTGCACCAACATCCTGTTCTCCACTGCATCAAAAAAGTACTACACATAGAACAAGCACCCAAATATCTGATTAAGAACTGCTACATGAAGTGAGACAGTACATGGGAAAAGGTCCCAGGGCTGCAGCACCTACTGCATCTACCATATCCCTGATATTTGACAAGCAGTGAAAAACAGCTGGAACAATATTCCTTGATATGCAGAATGGTAAGAATTAAGAATGAAAGCATTTTAATATCACACAGTTCACCTGTGTGCTAAATTTCTCCCACAGATAAATTCCTAACACTTCCTTCCCTATATTTACAGAATCTAAGGCTCCTGGGAGCAATGATATCAACATTTATCTGAGAATTAAAGAGATAGAATTGTTCTCTAAACATCCTAATAGAGGATTGGACTCATGAGTAAGTGTGTTATTGATTAGATTAATTGCAATTATTCTATGCCTACACGGAAGTTGTATACAGTTTCGTTTATGTTCATAAAGATAAATACTTAATAGTAAATTCTATTTGTTGTATACAGACAAAAGCCATTTATCTTTACAAATTCAAGCAGTCCAGAGGTTCACCCTTTGGTTTCTTGCTTCAATGTATCCTTTATAATAAGGCAAGATACTTTCCATCAACGTATTTGCTGTCACTACACTTGTTGAAAACCAGTAAATGTCAGCACACTAGATCTTGTCCATTTAGCTAAAGCACTAGAACTTTGCTAGACAGTGGACCACATTTTAAGCATCCAAGAAGATGAATTTCGTTTGGGGTTTTTGTTTTATTCTTGTTCTTGCTGTTTGCTTCGCAGGTATAAAGAACTATAGGTTTTCTCAGTAATTCATGCCAATGTTCATCAATTCACCTCATGAAGAAACTATTCTTTACACTTTTAAAATCTAAATCCCTCTCATAGCAACACTTTTCATTCTATTATTAATGGAAAGGGGAAACTACTATTTGATGGTCCTTCAGAATCCTGAAGGTTTTGATCACCTCTTCTTCACAGGAAATAATCCATGTCCTTCAACATTTCTTCAAGTTCTCATTTTCCCACCCTTTAACAATCTTTGTTGCTCACCTCCAGACTATTTCTTACAGTGATGCCTTTAAACTTTTATTAATAAATAGCTAACCTCTGAAAAATCATAAAACTGAGGGAGCCTATTTGTTTAAGAAACAAGTCATTCTTGGCTGTTTTTGGTTGTCTTAACAAATCTCCATCTAAGAACTGGTCAAAACATTATTTAAACGGCAGGAATACTACCTAATTGTATAGTAAAAACATTCCTCATAATATGAGTCACGCCGAGCGCGGTGGCTCACGCCTGTAATCCTAGCTCTCTGGGAGGCCGAGGCGGGCGGATTGTTTGAGCTCAGGAGTTCGAAACCAGCCTGAGCAAGAGCGAGACCCCGTCTCTACTAAAATAGAAAGAAATTAATCGGACAACTAAAAATATATAGAAAAAATTAGCCGGGCATGGTGGCGCATGCCTGTAGTCCCAGCTACTCGGGAGGCTGAGGCAGGAGGATTGCTTGAGCCCAGGAGTTTGAGGTTGCTGTGAGCTAGGCTGATGCCACGGCACTCTAGCCCAGGCAACACAGTGAGACTCTGTCTCAAAAAAAAAAAAAAAAAAAAGAATGAAACACAATATGAGTCACAAAATATATACGTACATTTAGCTTTCTGCTCTTCATTTATAAGCAAACCTACTCTCTTGGTAATTGCCCAATTCCACAGGTTTACTGCCATTTCTTCAACCTGGTCAAAGAGAAATATTTCCTTAGCCAGTTAAAATACTGTCCACCTCCAATGATATTTTCATTCTTGCATGTTGTATGCTTATATAACTATTGTGGCTCATTTCCAGGCCCTCCACAATCTACTCCCATCCTACTTCTCCCCCAGAAAACTTACCCACTGTCAGAGTAATCATCTCACTGTCCCCTGAAGACAACTTGTTGATTCCTATCTATGTGTGTTTATTGATAGTGTTGGCTTCGCCTGATATGCCTCCTCCCCTCCCTTTGTCTTTATGTAACTCAAATCCAGTTAAGTCTCGCCAGCAACATCCATGAAGTTTTCAGCAACCACTACAATCTACATTGCTCTCTCTTTCTTCTTTGAATTCCTATATTTATTAAGTTTCACACAACTGAGCATTAATTATACTACTTTGTATCATTTATTCTTTAACTGTTTCAGTTATTTCCCAACTAGGCTCCTGGATATCAAAGGTCATGTCTTATATAACTTACATAGTACTTACAGTACTAATTTGTTGTTTTATTATGTTTTTTCTGGGGACTAGGGGGCAGTTTCTAATGTTTCTTTTGGGGTTTATATTTCTATACGATAGAACTCAGTCAACTGGATGCAAAACTAAATCAAGCTCATAGTGTCTAAAGGGAAAAATGAAGACACAAAACACGTGCAATTGGGGATAGGTTGGTTTCTGAAAAGAGACCTCTGAAGGCAATAATTGGTCCTGGATGCTACTATTGCTTGAGACCAATATGGCATAGCCCTGGCCTAAATCTCCCAGGGTGCTATGGTGAATATAATAGAAGCTATATACCATTGTCTTACAATAAACATATTGGTAGTAATATGACTAATAGAAAAAATAACTGGATAAGCCAAAAGAACCCCAATTTATGCACAATGGTAGTATAAGATTGTATTTTAGTTTCTTGGGTTTTTTTAAAGACAGGGTCTTGCTATGTCACCCGGGCTAAAGTACAGTCACATCATCATAGCTCACTACAACCTCAAACTCCTGGCCTCAAGCAATCTTCCTGCCTCAGCCTTCTGAGTAGCTGGGACTATAGGTATGCACCACCACACCTGGCTAATTTTTCTTATTTTTGGTAGAGATGGGGGTCTCGCTATGTTGCCCAGGCTGATCTTGAACTCCTGGCCTCAAGGGATCTTCATGCCTTGGCTTCCCAAAGTGCTTGGATTACAAGCGTGAGCCACTGCACCTAGGCTGTATTTTAGTTTTAAATGTTTCTCCAGTGCCACTTTTTTCACCTACAGTTTCACATTTTTCTCATGAGCTTCCATTTAAACAGATGATTTATTTAGTATGGCTGCCATTTCACTTACTATTCTGAGCTAATTCTCATGCCCACCTCCATCCCTCTTACATAGTATCCCCATGCCACAGGTGATCTAATGATGACTTTCACATGAAGTATTATTTGATTTGTATCACTAAAAACACATGGAGTTACTACTCACTCCAACTTTCCCAGAGGAACAAATGATTTGATGTATTAAGGGGGTAAATGAACATCCAGACTAAAACAGCTCAAAGAAGCTACCTTTTCTGGCATTTTGGAAAGCAATTTTGCAATATGTAAAAAGAGCCAAAAATGTTCATATCTTTTGACCTAGTATTAATAATTGATCTTCTGAGACTCTATCCTAATAGTCCAAAATGTGTAGGGGGATAATCTTTGCACTTAGTACTGCTCCTAATGTCATTATTTATAAAAGTGAAAAATGAGGAACAATATAAATATCCAATAATAAATACTTGAATTATGATAAATCCCTTTGATCAAATTGTATTCAGTCATTTAAAATAGTGGTTATGGCTGGGCGCAGTGGCTCATGCCTATAATCCTAGCACTTTGGGAGGCCTAGATGGGAGGATCGCTTGAGTTCAGGAGTTGGAGACTAGCCAGAGCAAGAGTGAGATCCCATCTCTACTAAAAATAGAAAAGATTAGCCAGGCGTGGTGGCACACGTCTGTAGTCCCAGCTACTCGGGAGGCTGGGGCACTACTGGGTAGTTTTCTACTTTGCTGCAAAGGGAAGGAAAAGAGAACTATTATTTAGTGACTAACTACTATCTGTCCAGGACCTTATATATGTTATTGTGTTTACTATTCACAACAACACTGGGAAGTGGGTATTACTATTATCATTTAACAGATGAGAAAATGAAGCATAGAGAGGTTAAATAATAAACTTGAGCACATATTTTCCATTGGTTTCTAAAACTTTATTTTCCCTAAATTAGGCTTGAAAATCCAAAATAGATTTCTATGTGTTTAGCAATGATTAAGCATGAAGAATTTTTTTTACTTATGCATTGGTTAAAATGATGAATCATTAAAACTTATCATAGGCCGGGCGCAGTGGCTCACGCCTGTAAACCTAGCTCTCTGGGAGGCCAAGGCGGGCGGATTGTTTGAGCTCAGGAGTTCGAAACCAGCCTGAGCAAGAGCGAGACTCTGTCTCAAAAAAAAAAAAAACTTATCATAAACAAAATTATTTTTATACCAACCTGAGCATCCTGTATTTCAGCCATAGACTCCCTGTTAGTATTTGCTATGTCCATGAAGAGTCTATCAATTGCCTCAGGTATGCTAGGTGAATTTTCTTTTCCGATCAGCTTTTCAATAATTTCTGAAATAACAATGAATGATAAATGTGCTGTGAACTATCACCATTGGCTAAAAGTAGCAAATCATTTTGAAACCTGTTCCTAGGTCACTGGCCAAATGAATATAGCATGAAGGACCTTGAAACGATCCTTAGAGTAAAACCAAACTAGAGATAGTTTCTTTAAGCTAGAGTACAATTTTCAAATAAAATCTGTATTCCTTGGAGTCATTTGTTTATAACTTAATCACCATTACTCATTCTCAGAAAGTAAATGGCATTGACTTCACAAATAGTAATGTTATTATAGGAAATCTTAAAAGTACAAAATAGAAGTTAATACTGCATTCAAAACTAGAAAATGTAGAAATTCTGAGGAAGACCTGGATATGTACCCTGTAAAATTGAAATACTTAATATTTTCAAGCATTTGACAGACATAGCAAAGTTATGCTGGCTCTGAAGTCTTGACCTTACTTTGTGAGAAAAAAATGACAGGCCCAATTAGCAACAACAATAACCAGTTATTGAATCTGTACAAATGATGTCACTGTTTTCTAAACAGTCTGAGCTCCAGATTCTATATAGCTGAATGTTACTAGGCCATGGAATTCCATAAAACCCAAGCATTAGCTGGGTGTGGTGGTGCATGTCTGTAGTTCCAGCTGGTCAGGAGGCTAAGGCAAGAGGATCACTTGAGCCCAGGAGTTCGGGACCAGCCTGGGCAACACAGCGAGATCACCGTCTCAAAAAAACAAACAAACAAAACAAAAACAAAAACAAAAAAAACCCAAGCATAATGTAGGATCACAACTGATACCCTTCATATTATCAAAATTGAGGGTTTTTTCCAAACTCATGTAAC